TTCTTTTAAAAAAAAGTTTGTGCAATTTAAATTATTCATTGTGCCAGAATTCACCCTTGAAATTTTTAAAAAAATTTGATAAAAACAGCTGTTTGGATATTTTTGGCAGGCCGGTGTATAGCTAAAGGATAGAAAAATGTCACTCAAAAAACCATTCAAAACTGTTGGATCAAAATTGGTATACTTCCATTTTCAGATGACAATGAAATAGAATCAAATGATGATGATGATGATGAAATTATAGATTTACTTGAAAATTTACCTGAAAAAGATGATGTACAAGAATATTTTTAATTAATTGATTATAATGTTCCTACTGAAGAAAATCTTAGTGATGAACAAATTGTTAATTTAGTACAATCTGAAAAAAAAGAAGAAAATGAAGAAAGTGATAGCAATGATGAAGAGATACTTCCAGTATCAGTTAAAAATGTAGTTAGTGGGTTGGAAACTTTTATTAAATATTTTGAACAGCAAAATGATGATATCATAACTCTGAATTTAATATTGATGATTTGAGAATTTTTAGAAAATATTTACAAATATCCAGAGTTATTGAATTTAATTCAAAAAAACAACAGTTTCTTGATAATTTTCTTTAATATTTGATATAATAATTTTTGTGATTTTTATTAGTTTATCTTGAGTAATATAATATTTTTGATACATTTATAATAAAATTTTTTTTTGCAATATTAATTTTTATAATCACACTTTTATGAAATTATATATATGTGTGATTATATAAAAAAACCTCACTATAAGAACACCTCTATATAATCACACCTTTAGATGGTCCCGGGGTGTGCTTTTAGTGGGGGGTCGACTGTAATGATCAAAATCATATGACCAAGATTTCATATTTTTTTGCTGATTATCTATTTTAGCGTACAAATTTAAATTCAAATTAGGATGATATCTTTACGAAACTATCATTTATCACAATTATTATTTAAAACTATTAAAATATCTAAAATATCTTCATTTTCTTCATCACCTTTTTCTTCGCTCAATTCACTTAAATCATACAAATCATTTCCCCCTATACTTAATCCTTTTAAAACTCATTCAAGGCATATAAAAACTTCGTAAGTTTAATATTGTCTTTAATTTTTTATGATCTTTTTTTTTAATTTACTTTTATATTCATCTTTATTATATATATATATAATTGATACAATTGATATAATTGATATAATTGAAAATATAATTATAGTATTTGTCATTATGGAAGGTTTGTAAAAGAACAAAAAAGACCGGAACCTAAAACGAAACGGCCTGAAGACTTTGCGGTAAGTAACAGAAAATATTATTTTTAATTATTTTTAATTATATCTTAATAATAATAATAATAATAATAATAATAATAATAATAATAATAGTAATAATAATTCTTAATAGGTTTTGGGTATTAGGGAACCAATATGTAGAGTACTAGAAAGTAAATTTAACATAAGAAAACCTACTGAATGTCAAAAAAATTTAATCCCAACAATTCTTCAAGGCAAAGATCTTCTTATAAGAGATGTTACTGGATCCGGAAAAACATTTGGAATAGTTTTAGCTTTACTTAACAAAACCAGAAATCAACAACTTTGTATTGAAAATAATGAAAATAATGATTATGAAAATTATTATGAAAATAAATATAATTATTTAAAAAAACCTTGTATAACAAGTTTATTAACTGTTCCAAGTAGAGAATTGGCTTATCAAATAGAGAATTGGGTTCGAATCTTATTAAGTGATACTGGAATACCATTAAAATCTATTATTCAAGTTGTGGCTAGAACTGATTCAACTGATGAATCACAACAAATACATGATTTACTTAATTCCCCTCCTCATATTTTAGTTGGAACTGCTACTAGACTTCATGATTTAATGAATGGAAAATATTTAAATTTTAAAAATTTAAAAACTTTTGCTTTAGATGAAGCTGATCATTTATTCAGATTACCTAGAAAACATGCTACATTAAAAGATATTCAAAATAGACAATTACATCCTAAACCTACTGAATTGTTGGCTCAATATATTTTTAGTCAAGTTAGACCACAGATTATAGTTTCTTCTGCTACTCTTAATCGATCTTTAAGATATTATTTCAAAGATAATAAATATACCGAAAATCCTGTATTTATTGATATTTCGGAAGGAACTTTATCTCCTCCCACAATTGAACATCATTGTTTATTAATTTCTAATAAAGAAATTAAAAATCTTACTTCTGTTGAATTTACTTGGTATAATCCATTTATTGATGATAGATTACCAACAAAAAATGAAGAATTTGGTGATGATGATGATATAATGTTGGATAGTTTAGTTGGTGCAATTGAATTAGAAAATATTAAATGTGGTTTAATTTTTGTTAATAATCAAATTAAATTAACAAATATAGTTAAAAGATTAAAAAAATTTGGTGTAGAAACAAAAGAATTAGAAAATTCATTTTTAGATAAAAATATCAAAGGATTACCTTGGAATCATGCATTAGGAAAACCTACCCATAAATTATTTGTAGCTCATGAATTTACTGCAAGAGGAATTGATATTCCTTTAATATCACATGTTTTTATTTTAGGAATGCCAAGTTCATCAATTGAATATTTACATATGTCTGGAAGAACGGGAAGAATGGGAAATGGTGGAAAAGTGATAACTTTTATAAAAGAAGGGCAAAAAAGATTAATTAAAACTTTGTTTACATTATTAAAAGTGAATCCCGCTCCATATCCATTTATACAATAATAAACTATTATTAAATTTTTAAACTATAATTAAATATATTATTATTATAATATGTAATATATTTATTTTTATTTATTTTAAAGTCTAAAGTACAAAAAAGAAAAAAAAAATCTATAAGACATTAATAATAATTCATATCCGTCAAAGATTTTATCGAAACTATTTATAAACATTAAGATAAAGTAATAAAACTGAAATTATTCACAGTTTCAACTTTGTCTTATAAATTTTTTTTTTTCGAGAATCAAAAAAATTAAAAATCCTCTCCTTTCCTTATCATAATAACTTAATTGAGATCACTTTTTTGTCCATTTCTTCTTTTTTAAAGAATTCGTTGTTACGTTCAAGTGGTGACTACTTGTTCTTATCTGAATTGGTGTTGTTCTTGGAATTGTCTTACGTTGTGGTGGTGGTTGTTTATCTTGTTTTTGTTGTAATGCTAATTTAGCCTAAAAATAAAGAACAAACATATTTTAAATAAATATATATTATATTTATTTATTTACATTAATATTCACTCACGTTTTGTACAGCATTAGATGTTAAATCATTAAGCAGAATTTCTGTCTCCTTTGTTCTTGGATGTTCGGGACCAAACTAGAAAAAAAAATTTTTTTTTTTTTAAATTATATAATTAATAATAAAATAAATAATAAATAATGATAAAATAAATAATAAATAATAATAAAATAAATAATAAATAATAAAAAAAAATAGATAATTAAATAATTACCACTTTGATGAATATGTTATATGCACATTTTTCAGCATTTAATGCTGCTTTGTAGTCCCCAGCAAATGCTAACGCTTTAGCAAGAAGATGATATCTAGTATTTGAAATTAATTTCAATACATAAGAAATACACGCACACATACACGCATACAAACATGAGTATATATATCTAAGCAAAGAAAAACTTACGATTCACCAGTAACAAAATTATATTTTCCGAATATAATTTCATTCGTATCCTTTGCTCTTTCAAAGAATTTTATGCTTCCCTCAAAATCTTTCATATTTTGTAACATAATTCCTACGTTATGCTGTATATAATAATTTGATTGATGAATTAATAAAAAATTAAAGATAAAGAAATTAAGATAAAGAAATAAAGATTTACATCAGCAGTAGCACCGTCAGGATGTAATTGACCATATATAACTTCCCAATAATACATAGCATGTTTCATATAACGTAGACCAAGTTCAGTATGTCCAATAGCGTTTTCAAAAAGTCCTAAATGTAACTACGATTTAAAAATATATGATAAACAATAATTTAATATAATATAGTAAAAGAAGATTAATTATTATTATTATTATTATTACTTACATAACTATGGACAGCATCTACACTATCAATGCCACAAGTTCTCTCAAGTACAACAACAGCCTTCTTCTGGAAATCAATAGCAATTTCGATATCTTCATGATGATAGAAATACATAGCTAATGCAGAATAGCATTTTGCTGTTGCGGGATGAAGAAATCCGTAACTTTGTTCATGTAAAGCTAGTGATTGAAGCATGAGATCGATCCCAAGATCTCGATTTCCTGAAGCAACAAAAATAATTATTCATAAATAATTAATCTCATAATTATTAGATGCATTATTCAATGGATTATTCAAATAATATTATTAAAAATACCTTGAGCAATAGTTAGTTTACCAGCTTCAAAAGTTTCTTCGGCAAAAGAATATTTTGGAGTGGCTTGTTTCACAGTAGGAATCAAGTTCACTATATCATCCGGAACGAAAGTGGTAGGTCTCTTTTTCGATTTCTTTTTAACAAAATGGTATCCTTGTGCTGATAATTGAATGCCTAATCGTAAACAAATTTCCCTTAACAAAGGCAATTTCCTCACTTCAGTGTTTACAAAATCTTCTTCAATTCGATATCTAAATCTTATAAGTATAATTTCTCGTATTTGAGGTATTAAAGTTGCCGGAGTTAATGAAAGATATGAATATTGAGGATTTTCTGATCCGATAATTAGTTCTGGGGTTAATGGTTGAGGATTAGGATTAAATTCCGTTCCCAATAGACAATTTAAAAAGTGTGAAATGCAATGTGGGACATATGTAATTGGTATTTCTCGTAAGAGACCTCGAAGTATACGTTTAGATGCTCGAGTAATCATTTCATGAATAATGAGATGCTATAAATAAATAATAATTATTAAAAATATAATTGCTTTTATATAAAATATAATTTCTATATCATTATATTATAATTACTTTTATGTGATCCAATTTGTGGTCCTCTAATTCATTAACAATATTGGCAATAATTCCTAAATATCGCATATTAATTCCTCGTCGATGCATTGTTGCCGTTAGCGATGTACCATCAACAGGAGATACTGCTAATGTGGTAAATTCTATGATCTAATCAAATAAAAAGAATTTTAAATATCAATTTAATATCTCTGGAATAATTTAGATATGCTAAATTAATTAATTAAATTAAATTGATTAAATTGATAGAAATTGATAGTTAAGAAGTTATATAAATTTTTACCTACCAACATTCTTATAACAGTCTCCCTTAAATATTTAGATGCAAATCGAACATTTTCTTCATCTGAAGCCTTAGTTTTATCATATTCCTCTCCTTGTGGTATTTTATGATCTGTAAAAGAATCCGGATTAAGTGCAAAATTAAATTCATCCGTATCTGTAACAATAACTTCTGGAGAGGAGGCACCTCCATTCTCCTATATAAAAAATTGTCTATTAATGTTGTTATTAAAAATATCTATAAGTAATATCACATTTTATTGGGATTATTACCTGTTGTTTTTTGTTAGCTTTTTCTTGAAGCCAAGATCTAAATCTACTATCCCAAAACGATTCAATCAATTCGGGTCGAAGAAGTGTTAATTTGTGAGGATAAATGGGTAAATCACTCCCTTCTTGAGGTTCACATTCTTTTTCAAGAAATTCAATATCAACTGGGTTAAGACGATATAAATCAAATAAATATCGTCTGCCGTCATCACCCATTAAACCCTAAATATGAATAACGAAAGAATGAATAAATAAGCAAATGAATGAATGAACAAATGAATAAATGAGTATGCAAACCTTAGTTTCAAGAGAGGTATAAAGTTTTACAGCAGTTCCTTTACTATCACAAACGCTAAAGTGATAAAATGAATTAAGAATATATATATATATAAAGAACTGATTTTTAATATCATTACATTGTTAAAAAAAAAAAGAATTATCAATGTGAAAAGTGAAAATTACGTGTGTTCAGCTAGATGAAGAGCTTTTGCAGCTTTGCCAACTATCTCATGAAATTCAGTATTGGAACATAATTTTGGTTCATCACGACCATTGTCAAAATAACCATAAACAATAGAAGAATCATCTTGACGTCGAAATATTCCTGGAACAATAGTTTGTGCAACAATTCTGACTCCCTTATAATCAGCTACTACACAGCCGAGAGTATATAATCCATCAACATCTATTGAATTCACCGTTCTTATACCTTCCAAATCTTTACCAGTAGCTACGTGTGCCGCGTCGTTACCACCAAGTTTGGCGAAAGTTCCTCTAGTATCAAATGCTTTACTGAAAAATATATTATTATAAACATACATATGTTCTTCTTCAGGGTCTCGAGGATTAAATGGAACAACATTTCCATTAATAACTGCAATAGCTCCTTTAACTGCACTTTCTGTAAAATCTGCTTGAATTTTATTGACAAGTCTTTCCCTTAATACTCGATCTTTCATTTCAACTTTAGGATATTCCCTTTGTGATTGAAATTCATCATTCCAATCTCGAAGAGAATCAACTGCATCTGTACCATAATTTAAATGTATATCTGATAATCGACTCATATCATAAATATGTTTATTTAATTTAACTGCCCAGGGGTAAGCAGGGAAACATGTATTAACTGGTATTGTTTCAAATGGGTGATGCAATCCAGTAAAATCTTGCAATGCTTTAAAATTAGCCCGAAATGCTGGTGAAAGTCCTTGTAATAAAGTAATAAGCGAATGTGCATGAGATACTTGTAATTCTGATCGAGGAATAGGATCAAAATTCTTTAAAGTTGATCTATTCACAAAAAAACCATTTATTCCTGCTGTGATATGTAAAGTTTCTCCCTCAATAGTTATCACAGTTAAATACAGTAAATCACCTATAAATTTAAAAATTTTTAAAAATTAAAAAATTAAAATATTGAAATATTGAACTCTATATTCAAAAACTTTATGTCAAAAACTCTATTAAAAACTTTATATCAAATTCTATTAAAACTCTATTAATTAATTACCTCTTTTGCGACGTTCAAAGGGTACAGGATTCCAACCAGAGAGATACAATGTTTCAAGACATTTGATTTTATTTTGGCCGAAACTTTCTGGAACAAACTTTGACAAAGATGGAGCTGAAAAATCATAGTCAGAAAATGGAGTTTGTAATGTACTGATTTGCTCGCCGCCTTCATCTTTTGATTTTCCGTTTTCTTTTTCTTCAGATTGTTCAATAGAACTCTTTCCTATAAACAAATCAAAAAAAAAAAAAAAAAAAGAGATTTTTATTAGAGAAAATAATTGGAGGTATTGGATATGCAATTCGTTGCTATATACCTTTTCCAATGTTTCCATTAGTCCCATTGCTTACATTTACTATATTATTATTGATGGCGGTAAAGAAAGACAATCCTGGATCTATACCAATTGCTGATGGATTTTGTTTATATGGTCCAGCAAGCAAATCACGGACGTGGATAACATGAATTCGAGCTTCACGTTCAGTATAAGGTTCTTTAATTTTAATTAAATAAATTGAATATATAAATTGAATAAACAAATTGAATACATATATTGAATATATATAAAAATTAAATATATAAATAAAAAATAAAATATATAAATTAGAATATATGCTTCAATGTGATATTCCCTTCTTCGCAAAATGATAATAATGAAAATAATAATCAAAAGGTAATAATGTGATTTACCCTCAATAAGATCCAAATCACAATCTGAAGAAATGTTTTCCTCTTGAAGTTCCTTATAATCATCTAATCTTCTACCATTCAAGGCAAGAGAGAAACAAGTATAGATGCATGTTTCAGGTGAATCAGTAAGCCACTGTTTAACTTCTTGAACGAGCTCACTTGCATTTGCCTAAATATAAAATTAAAATGTTTAGCATTATAGATAACTTTAAAGTTGAATCGATTCGATATTTAAAAAATTATTATCCATATTATTCATTTTAAACTTACAAAGACGTAAGTTTTTCCAGGAAAGTGAGGTATGTTAATTGCTAATGTAAAATGTGGTTCTTCAGCTTCAGTTTCTACCACATTTTCAACTTGCTTTCCTCCCAATTTTGTTTCGGTTTCCGATACTACTTTTTTATTATCGGATTCTGATTCCATTTTATTTTTAACTTTTTTTGCATATAAAGGGGGCTTTAAAAAAAGAATTTTTTAATAATATGACCTTAAAATTTGTCAAGAAAATTTTACTAAAAACTTAAATCTTTTTGAAAAAAAATTTCGATCCATTTATATCGAAAATATTTGTCAAAAAATTTGATAATCCAAAATCGATGGATCGCAATAAGCCAATCAAATCTTTCTAATATTTTAAGAGATCAAAAAAAGCCATCCTCCTAAATTTGTAAAAAATCTTGATTAAGAAAAAAAAACATTTTTAGCATAGCATTTACACATCACAATTTCTCAAGATGATTAAGAGGGAGATTAAGAATTGTTTTGCTTATGAATCAACAATGTGTATTGCTTAAAAAAGAAAAAATATTCATATTTTTTCTTTGGGATTGTTATCAATTTTTGGTTGCAATATTATAAAATATAAAGAATGTATGAATGAAATTGCTGTAATAAATCTGATCAGACGATATTAAATCACGTGAAATTGACATATAGAAGGTTTAACAAAAAATTCAAGGGAATTGAACTTGAATTAAGCAAGTTCTTTTTTGACTAAGCGAGTTTTTTTTTCCACTGGAAATACGAACTAATAGTCGTTTTGGTTCTTTTTTAACTATTTTTTGAAAAAGAAAGAAAAACATAAAAGCTCTATATTCTGCGGCACATTTTACGCATAGCACGTAACAACATTTTTCTTTGACTTTGGTAAACCATAGATCTAAAAACTTTTTTTTTCTTTTTTTTGCATTATTATATACAATTATTAGAAGGATTTTCATTTAACTTTATTCTATCTGAGAAAAAGGAGGAATAACAAAAAGTCTTCTTTATTCTCTTTATTAATATAATATAATTAAATAATTTTTCCATCTCCCTTTAATTATTTAAACCTTTATTTTATTTTTATTTATTTATTTATTTTTTTTTTGGTATAATAAATATTATATATATATATATTTTTATTGCCCAGCATGGATTCCTTTTACTTGTTCTAAATGGAGCAAACACTATTTTTATTATTGATAAATTTCTTTGCTAGTTCCAAGAGAACTTTAATCAATTGGTTTTTACAATACCACACCTTATTCTTTTTGTCATTTCCAAATAATCTTCTCTGTATAAAAGAGAAGAAAAATTGGCAAAAGTTAAACAACGACATATATTTTAAGTATAATAACCTATATCCTCCAAATTGGCTTTATCCTCTGATTCTTGTTAATTTATCATTGGCCACCATCATTGCTACAAGCAATTGGAATTATTTAATTCTATTTTCACCAAGAAAACCACAAATTCCTCGTAATAATAATAATTATAATCTTCTATATAATAATAATTATTATTATTATAATCATAATTATAATTATATATCAAAAGTATTAAAAGAACATAATTTTCATGATGAACGCAAACGCCCCTTCGTTTATTCCACAAAATACGCAAAACATTTCATCCGCCGCCGCGTCAAGGATTCAAATCACATCATCATCGGGACGTGGCATCGGACCAATGCAGACCTCGTACCATCCTGAACCAAGACGTTCAGGAAGTAAAAATAACAATAGTCAAGGAGATTCAAACGGTTTGTGTGAATTTATTTGAAAAAAAAAAATGAATTCAAGAATTCAAGATATTAATATATTTACATTCTGCAGCCCGTATGAGTGTCAACAATGGAAAGAGAAACAACAATCCTTTTCATCGTAAAAATTACCGTCAACCACATCATCAACGGCGTAATCAATCCGAATTAAGTATCACAAATAATGACAGCCAGCCTTCTTCTTCTTCTTTTACGGAAGATAATAAAGATAATCGACCTTCTATGGGAGATAATAAATCTTCTACAAGAGATAATGAAACTAGTCAATCAGAAGAATTTTCTGTCATAAATGTTGTTTCTAATGTGAACGATTTATCTCTTAATGATTTAGATCCAGCAGTAAGTTAAAGATTTTATTATTATTTATAATTGTTATTATTATTATAATTTTAAGCATACATATATTAAAAATTCAATATATTTAAATAAATTTAGCTTTATGGAGCACCTGCACGGAGAGGTCAAATATCCCTTAACCATCTTTTGAATTTTTCATTTCCACCAAGACAACGTTATGTTGCTAATACTCCTCGTAGACAAAGATCAATAAATTATCAACCTTTCAATAAAGAACGATTCGTAAATGCAAAGTTTGTTTATCAATTTATTTTTCGAGTGATTGATTGAGTACACTTTATGTTATGTTATTGGATAATGATTTATGAATATAAAATATAGTTTTCGGTTCCTTGTCAATTCGTTAGGGGATTACACAGTCTATCAATTTGATCCTGGTATGCGTAAATTTTGGTTTTTATAAATTATTCTAATAAATTATTTTGTTCTAATTAATTAATTGTAATGTTTATAATGTTTATTTATTTAGATCTTTTACTTCAATGGGAAAATATCGAACAAGTGGTAAATTATCTGCTACTTACATATTATATTTATTAATTCTATTTATAAATTCTATTATTTATTAATTCTATTTATAAATTCTATTATTTATTAATTCTATTTATAAATTCTATTTATTGTCGTAATAAGATCATTACCACACCTTCAACACCAAGTTGCCCAATTTGTTTACAACAACCAATAGCCGCTCGGGTAACAAAGTGTGGTCACACTTTTTGCCTTACCTGCATTCTTCATTATTTATTTCTTATTGATAATGAAGAAAAGCCTAATAAAAAATGGCGTAGATGTCCAATTTGTTGGGATGCCGTTTATGCTAAAGATCTTAAAAATGTTAGATTTTGGTCTGTAAGGAACATGAAAATTGGTGATGGAGGGGTGACAACAGGAGAAGAAATGATCACAATGCGTCTTATTCAAAGAAATGCGGTATATATATTATTTTGATATAAATACATACATACACACACACATATATATATGTATATATTTGTATATTAATTGATAAATATTTATTGTAATTCTGACTTCTATTATTAGAATTCAACCTTAGCACTTCCTCGTTCTTCTACTTGGCCACCTCGTGACGGATCCTCTGCCTTTCCTTCTGCACCATGGTATTTTTCCCCAGATGCTCTTGTTTTCTCAAAAATAACGATTGCATCAACAGATTATATGCGAACTGAATATCAGAAGGATTTAAAAGAACTTGAAAGTGCATATCACGATGCTAAAAATTTGGATTCAACTGAAGAAATTCCATTTATTGAGATGGCCATAGTTAACGTTAAAGTAAATTGTTATACCAATTTTTAATTGTAATTTATAATTATCATAATTAAATTATACCACTATTTACTATTGATAGGAACATTTAGAGAAACTTCAAAGATCTTTGACCGTTGACGTTGTTGAAGCCGAAAGACGAGCTCGCGATTTTGTTAAATCATCTGAAATGAATTCAAGTACTCTTGATAGATCACAATCAAGCGTTATTAAATCTTCCCAAAATAACAACAACAATAATAATATTAATAACAATGAAGTTGACGAAACTAACTCTGAAAGTAATGACATCATCCCTTCTTTTCTACCGGATGAGTTTAAAGATCGACCTCATATAGCCAATATTCCTCAGAAAAATGATCCCAAATCAAAGAATAAATCTGTTCAACAGCAACCAGTTTCTTCGTCTTCTTCGAGCGAAGGAACATATCATTTCTATCAATCAGATGATGGTCAACATATTTATCTACATCCTTTAAACATTCGTATTTTGAAACAAGAGTTTTTAGCATATGAATTCTTTCCAAATGAAATATCTGTTAAGATTTCTGGCATTGAAGAATCTACGATTACCGAGGTGATTATTTTTTTTTAATACTAATTTTAATAATTTTAATAATTTTAGATTTTTGATTGCATAATCTTTAATAATATTTTACATATTTTAAAATGGATATTTACATGAATACAAAAGGACCTTCGTAAACGATTCAAATATCTTAGCCATTTACCATTAAGTTGTGACGTGACATTTTTAGAAGTTGACCTGAAAAACATTGTTTCTGATTCGACTCTGCAAAGCTTTTCAAGTAGGTTGACGTATTTATATATTTATAAATTTCTTTCCTTATTATTTGCAATAACTAATACTTTTTTTTTTATATTATAATTTTTTATTCTATCTATATATATTTATTTCAAAAGAAGAACTTTTGCAACGTGACAAGCGTAGAAAAGAAAAAGAAAAAAGAGAAAAACGTGTTCATGAAAAATCCATTAGTAAAGAAAGGCAGAGAAATTATCAAGAAGGATCAATTGTTGATTCTGATCCTTTCTTCTATCAAGTGAATTCCAATGTCAAAGTAGGAAGTAGTAATTTCTCTAACAATAATAATACATTGAATGCATCGAATAGTTTGAATCCTTCAGGTGATATAGAAAATGAAGGATCATCCAGTTCATCGTCTACTTCATACGATGGACCAAAGACAGTATGGGGAACGCCTGCTATATCATTTGCTAGTGTAACCAGTAGAGGAATGAACAATGAAAAAATTGAACATGATGAAGGATGGGATAATATTCCAGAGGAAGAAGTGTATGTAGGTAAAAAACACAAGAAAAAAAAACTTGTGTTAATGTCGACGGGAGGAAGAAGGAATGCGAAATAGTAAGTAAATAAGATAATAAATAACAAAATGTATACAGTGAACCTCTATAAATGCACCCCCGAGGAATCAGCCAGCATTTATAGAGGGAAATTTTTAAATGTTATTAGTAGATGGGACTGGGTGCACCTTATAGAGGGTCACTGTATAATCAATGAATTAATTTGGTGACAAAAATTAATGATATTTCATCATTATAAAGTCATTTCATAAGTAATTAATTTTTTTATTTATTTATTTATTTTTATTGGTCCGTTTTCGCAATATTTGCAATGTATTATCATTAAATAAATAATAAATTTTTTACTTCATATTCACGTATCACAAGATTGCTCATAATAAAATATTACAACGAACGATCAAATTATCCTTTATATGATGATTTGCATGTCATTCATGTCATTGTAGTGCGACTATTATAACTGTTATTGTTATTATTTTTTATAATCACAGTATAAACAAGCGAACTTTTTGTACTTTAGTAAAATCAAAACTAAACAACGCAAAATGTTATATATTTTTTTTTTTTTTAAACTAAATTTAATTATTGATAATTATAATATTTTAAAATTTACAGAGTTTGAAATAAGAGAAAAAGAGAAAAAAATAAAAATAATAAATAAAATAAAATCTACTTTTATAACATTAATAAATTACTTTTATACGAATGAAAAAAATTTTGTACGAAATTCGATATTTTACGAATAAAAAAAAATTTGTATAGTTTTTTCTTCTAAAAAAAAAGATGCGAAAAAGTTTGATTATGTTTTTCCATTATTCTTCTAGAATATGCGATAAAAGTCAAAAAAGTCTAGCGAGATATATATAATACGACGTTATATATATATATATATATAATTTTTTTATAGAGAATCTACGCAAATAATATAATAGAGTTAACGATAAACTTTCCGTCGAAATACGAAAAAATTTTAAATAGATCGAAAAGAATCAGATTTGCCATAAGTTTTGCCAGAGAAATTGTAAATAAAGAAATGAAGAAAATAAAATAAAAAGGAAAAGAAACAAAAAAAGGAAATAATTAAATTAAACTAACTAAATTAATAAATTATAAATTAAATTAAATTAAATAAATTAAATTAAATTAAATAAATTAAATTAAATAAAGAAAGCGAATAAATAATTTGATGATGAAAAGAATATTCCAACTCTCTCTAACGCATACGTGTAATTACATATAAGTGAATGACTTTCTCTTGAAAAATCCATCTTTAAATTTCATTTTTTTCCCTTTTTTACAAAAATGATAATATGTGTAATATGCATTGTTGTATGAACAAAATTGAAGAAAAAAAATGAAATTTGATGATGAACGTTTGTAATTGTTTAAATTATGTAAATGGTGCAAAATTATGTGATGTGAAATTATGGTGGTGTTATATGTAAATGATATGGAATATATATAAGGGGAGAGGAGAAAGTAGACAAAGAGAGAGAGAATATTATTAGTGGGTATATAAGAATATATAAAAAATGCGTCGTTCGTTCTACTACACAAATATAAGTTTTGTTATTTTATAAAACATTTAAATAAACACAACGATCTAAAACAAAATACAATATTAGAGCGTTCATTATTATTAATTAATTAATATACAGAATATTATTATTATTGTTGTTGTTGTTGTTGTTGTTGTTGTTATTATTATTATTATTATTTGATAAATAAAAATGTAAAAAATAAAAAATAAAAAAATAAAAATAAAGATAAAAGTATAATAATCTCATCCTAATCTTTTTATTATATTAAAAACTATAAATAATATATAGCTTAAATATAGCTTAAATATATCTTAAATGTAATTTAGGGTTGTTTGTGTGTGTGTATAGCATGTATTTGGTAAATAAAATGTAAAAGATATATATATAATAGAGAAAATATTATAATAAAAATAATTATCGAATCATATATATATATATATTATATATATTGTACTTTAGATTTCTGGATGGAAGAAATCCGCCATATCCAAAAATCGTTCTTGAAGATATTCACCAAGTACATCACTATAAGGGGAATAAAGGAAATCTTCAACCCAAGCATCAATATACAAAGATTCTAATTGAGCTTTGATATTCTTTAAAAAGAAATGCATTGCTTTGGCACCAATAAAAATCCATATATTGAGATGTTTAAGAGTAACAGGAATATGTTTTCCTACTTCCGGCCAAAGTTTTTCTAAATCTCCTTCAGGCGAACCCATAGAGAATAAACTGAGTTTTTCAATTCTACAACCAGGTGCTGAAAGAATTTTTATTAAATAAGGAACTTCATCTGCACTAAGCACTACTCCAAATGTTTTTAATTTAGGAGACCAATGAGCAATACTTTTAATAATTGATGTAGATAATTCATTATTTTCTTCATCTTCCCAAGGTTGATAAAATACTTCTTCAAGATTTAAAGGATTCTTTTGAATTACCGTAGAAATAAAGTGACCCCAAAGAGTTGATGATTCAATAACTCGAACTTTTCGTAAATAAGGTAATTCAGCTCTTGAGATTGATTCAAGTAAACATCCAGTACCTTTCGTACATCTTTTAATTTCTAACTCTTCAATCATTAAACAAGTAGTTAAAGCAATAATTGAAGCATCACTAGGGAAAGGAATACCATAAAGTTTTAAGGAAGTTAAAGTATCAGCTTGACTAGCGAGAGGAATAAAAATATTTGAAGAAAATCCATTAACGGTGTCATAACATGAGAGAGAGAAACTACGTAATCTGTGTTGAGAGAATATTAAGGAGGATAAATAATTTGAATCATCAAAATTTCGAAGACTGGGATCAGATGATTTTATAATGGATAAATTTTCAACATTTTCGGCTTGTTTATGAAGAGCACCAAATATAAAAGTATCCGAAGTATAACGAATGGATAAATTTTTTATGTTACTAAGACAAAGATCAACACCCAAATTATTTGGCATCGTAGGACCTATATGTTTACTTGGTCTGTCCAAATTGAGGGATTGAATATTTGATCTTTTTCCAAAGAACAATCGACATAAAGAACAATATACCAAGAGAGCTAATTCGTTAACTTCGACGGTACTGGAAAATTAGATTAGAAAATTAAATTAGAAAATAGATATATAACAATTTTTATGATTAGAAAAATGAAAAAAAAAAATGAAAAAATAAAAATAAAAATAAAAATAAAAAATAAAAATGAAAAAATAAAGATAAAAATAAAAAATAAAATAAAAAATAGAAAAAGAAATTTTAAAAAAATTTTACTTGATATAAGACGAGGAACGTCGTTTTGACATTTGTTGTTGTGTCCAACAATGAACAGTAGTATAAAGTATTTCCATACTAAGATGTGGAATGAAAGAAGCATAATTAAAAGTAGGAGATTTTCTATATTGAGAAGGTATTCTAATACCTCTAGTAATAAGTTCATTTCTATCAGCATCGGAAAGATTAGCGATAAATATATTTATAAGGGAAGCGGGAGGAGGAGTTGATTGTGTAAAAGGGTGAGCCCATAAATAAGGGACAGCAGTTTCACACCAAAGTCTATTAACCAAAATACAAGAATGAAGTGACTTGATATCATCTTTAAGAAGATTAAAAATGTCATATAGGCAATCAGCAGGAAGACAAACAGTATAGGTTTGCTTCTTTCGACTAAGTAATCGAAGTATAGTGTTTCTGCGTAATAATTTACTCATTTTTTTTTTCTCTTTTCTCTAAAAAAATGATGATATTTGATGATATTTGTTGTTATCAAAAGTTTTTTTTAGAAAGAATATTTGAATACGAGAAAGTAATAGTTCTCGATTTGGTTTTTGTTTTTGTATGTTGCTTTAATAATAATAATATTATTAGTATTACTATTATCTAGAAAGATGAAATCGAGAGAAAAAAAATATATTTAAAAGTTGAGAAGAGTAAAGAAAAAAAAAATAAAAGTTGATTTACAATCGAGAAAAGAAGAAGAAAAATAGTGTAGTGGAAAGTTCAAAATTTTTTTGTTTATGTATTATACAAAATAAATAAAATGAATCTTTGCAATTTATGAATTTATGTAATAATAAGTATATAATATAAACAATATAAAAATATAATATAATAAATAAAATATAAATAATTTAAAATAATATAAATAATGTATAATGTATATAAATAATAAAAAACCATATAAATAATATAAATATTCAATATTTAATTTGTAGAATATTCAATGTCGCACTACACATTAATAACAAAGTATATTAGTAATGCTTTATTTTAGTTGCAAGTTGTAATTATGAGTTGGTAAATTAGAATTGGTGTTAGCACATGTACATGAAAAGGCTAACACGAAGGAGAAACACATGATACAGATACACACTTCTCGATACAAGAACAACAAAGATAATATTAATGACTAATAGTATTAATAATTATGTTTGATATGTGTTGTTTTAAATGTGTTGTTTTAAATGTGTTGTATTTAGCGCTTAATGAGTGATACCGCAGTGATCCGCATTCATATCATTTGTCATAATGTTTATATTATCGGATCTGGTTCATCAATTATAATTAAATTAAAAAATTATTTGTTTATTTGTGTAGTTAATCTAATAATAACTGATACATTAACAGTTTAAAATATTTTATTGTAGATAATTATAGTTCATTGTAAACAAAACATGTTTTCATTTAGAAATTAATTTTCATCATCATTCTCTCATCGTTGACTGTCATCATCACATAGCTGTTTCTCATTTTCAAATACTAGATAATAACTAGAATTAGATAAATTGATTTTTTTGGGTGAACCAATTGTAAATGCAATTTTATCTAAAAGATCTACATTTTAATAAGTGATAGTAAGTCATGCTATTCATGTTATGACACGGACCACTACATGTTTTTCCCGCCCTTTGTACGTATGCTTTTCTTTGAGGAGAAATTGTTTCCAAAAATAAAACGAATTAATAAAATATTATGATGATCATTTATAAAAATAGAAACATCTGAATAATATGGCTTATCTTTTACGTTGAATATGGCTTGTATCAAATATGTTTTGTATGTGGCTCAGTAATTACTATAATTATATACTATACTACTACGTATATTATTACAAGTATGATAACCTATTTTTATATTTTTGATTATAACTACAAACTAAGTATACAATATAAACTTGACATACATCAATGGTAATCTTTTTTTTTTTTACTGGAAATAGTCAAATTACATTTATTATTTTTAGATTCTTACCATTTATTTTTAGATTCTTACCGTTTATATTATCAGAATACTCGGAAGACTTAGTAATATCTATAATTGTAAATTTTGATAAAAATATCGTCTCGAATAATAAATAAAGTTCTTAATATTTTTCTCAAATAATAAGTTCGCGTCATTAATCATTGAATACTGACTGGACATACTGAGCATACATCATTGAGTATTACTGAGCATACGCATTACATTATGTCATTTAAAACCAATAATATTTTGGAGTGTATGCTGTATATCTCTCATCGCATCATGTTGGGTAAATAGTTGGTAAATATAGTGAATTAATAGAATTGATAAATAATAAAGTAAATTTATTGAATTGTGAAATGTAAACATTCGATTTTTTGCAGGATGATTTTATTATTTTCTCTTTTTTTTTTGAAATTCATATGAAATATTCTTTTAAGGTAATATTTATAAGTATGAATTTTTTTGTATAAAACTTTCCTTTTCTCCTTTAATCCACTTGTTTTGATTATTTAATAACTATAATTAATAATAATATAATCTTTATATATAAATTATCAAAAATTATAAATTTTATGTATGTGTTGTGCCTGTGTTCCGTACACGAGAAAAATAGTCAAATAGATTTTTTCATATTATTATTATTGTTTTGCATATTTCGTTTTCTTAGTTACTTACATTACATTATATCCTAAAATGAATGTTTGACAACATTTAATCTAAATTTTCTTGCATAAAATCGTTACAGATAATACGGGTAATTAATACCGACAGACATACAGACAGGAAGAAAGACCATAAAAACCGAAAGACTGAATAAATGTGCGCGTCATGTAGTATCCAAGTACCAATAGAGAATCATACTATCTAAATTATATTGTCCAACATTAACGATACGATACGATATATAGAATATTAGATTTATGAAATTCTAAAAATACAAATAAATAATAAATAATAAATAATAATAGCAATAATAATAATTATTATTATAACGCAACAACTTCTTTAACTTTCGTATGGCATCCACGAATCTTTCTTCTAGTAAGGAAATACCTTTATTATAATAATGATTATGGTTTTGACATTCTTTTTGTTCATACAAAAGTTACAAATATTGAACATTTATTCTTTAATTGTAAATCTATTAAATTATCAAATTTGATTTGTGTGACAATGTTGAAACACTATTTTTTAAAATATTTTTAAATCTAAAACTCTAACTTATTCCGTAACTCAGTTTTTCTTTGCCAATCATATATACAGTATGTATATGTGTAGAAATGTTTTGTATGTGGCTCAGTAATTACTTGATGATAATAACTCAATAAAATAGTCGCAGAATTTTTATAGATGGACAATTTCGAAAGAACGAATAAAAAATTATGATTCAAAAATTTATTATAATTGTTAAATAATAAACTTGATAATAATAACTCGATAAAATAGTCGCAGACCTTTTTAAATTAATTTCGAGCAAAAAAAATTACAAAATAAAATGAAGATATAATATTATTAGATTCAGGTGTTCTCACGTATATGATCCAAAAGGAAAAATAATTGAATTTGGGAAGAATGACATCCAAAGGGATATTTAGGTTATCAAAAAGATACGACAAAATATCAAAGTAAAAGATCCTTGCTAAAAGAAAAAATAAAACAAGAAAAAGATACGTAATCAAAGGAAAAATGAAAAAATTTCACAAAAAAGATAAGAAATCTAATAAATGATTGTCTGCAAAATGTATTTGTGAAAATTACAAATTCTTTCTGCTTCCGAAATTCGAAATCCAAGAAATGACGAAAAGGATGAAACGAAAAATCAACAGCAAAACCATGAGAAAGATGATAACCTGAACTCATTACAGGTTTAGAAAATAAGATGTGTGAATATTCGGGAAGAATATTACACATCGAAGACATGTGGGCAATGCAGATACATAAAACGTAACCTTTGTGGATCTAAAATTTATAAATGCAATTCATGTTGTTTTGAGATTGATTGGGATCATAATGGAGCAAGAAAAATTTTGCTCAAACATCTGAGCCAGGAAACCTGTGCATTGTGATCTACCACACTTAACCTGTAAAAAGGTTGTTCTATAAACTAAATGCTAACGGTATCTTTTATCGTGAATGTTTGGTTTTTCTGTAGAAGTTGTCTAACTAATATTTAATAGTTTCAATTAAGATATTTAATAAATTTATTTTTAGAATTTATTCTATATATATTTAATATCGTCATCCCATACACATAATGCGCGAATTCTTCTGTCTGTTCACTTGTAAGTATGTATTTTCAATTTAAGAATTATTTTTGATTTTACTTGTATTATTAAGCATTAAATCACCTAATACATTTCTGAATTTCTTGTGGAAAAGTAAAAACAAACAATGGTTATTGGAAAAATGGGATTATTTATTAATCATCACTGAAGTATTATCTAAAGACACCCTTATTTTACAATCGAAATTCTCCCTACACTATATATACACTTTCTTTTTCAATTAAAGTTTATGAACATCTCTTTCAACAATTATAATTATTATATCAATTAATAAATAAAATGTGACTAAACTTTAATAATTGATAATCAATATGTTAGTACTTTTATTAAAAACAAATATTAAATATTGAATTTTATCATGAATGAAATTTTAATATATAAATTTGTAAATATATAATAATTTTAAATTCTAATTAATTATAGAGAATTTTTAATTAAATAAAATATATTTATATTTAATAAAAACAAGGTACTAGATTTACATGAATTCAATGATATTAATTTGCCATTAATGACATGACATCGAAGGTAATAAATTAAACTTAAAGAAATTAATGTGAAAAATAAATAAAATGTTCAATAAAGAAATAAAGATAATAAAAAATAAATAAAATAAATGAAAATAAATTACATTTTCAGAGTTGTGATCTTTTTAGATCTTTTGAAATCTAAAATTATGCAATAAAATAATTAATTAATTATAATAATAATTTCATTAAATAAATAAAAATGAATACTACAAAATCAAATTGTAATAATTAAGTGGAAACTTTATGTTAATATAAATTAAATTTTAGATTTAATAATTCAACTTAACTTACCTTTTTGTTTCTTCTATAAAGTAGTTAAAAAAATTGATTAAAGAAATAATTAAAAATAAAATTTGACATACTTTTGGTAGCGTCCTTAGGTTCATTACTTTTGATTGGTTGAGTATTTTAACATTCTTATTTTCCGTTGATTTGATTTTGATTTAAAAATTTGTTGCTTATCTATTTTATCATATAATGCCTTAATTAGTGATTCCACTTTTTGATAAATTGTATCTGCTTTAGACCTACTGTATTATCAGGATTAGCATCCCAACATTTTTTCATTAAATTTATATATTCTTGTGGGATGCTTTTATAGATCTTTGGCTGATATCCACAGATAATAGCAAATTGTAAATCCAAGTTGCCATCTCCACATTAATATACTTAAACTATATATATCTGATTTAGTTGTATAGACTTGACCACCGAGAACTTTTGGGAGATTTCCATAAACGTGCGCTATTTATCTGTTATATGATTAATGATTTTATATTTTTGCAACCATGTAATTGTCTATTAAAAATGTCTTGAATCATTATTAGTAATTATTAGTAAAATAAAACTAACATTATAATTATTGGCCCGTAACTTTGAGGAAGTAATAGAAAAATAAAATTAAGTATAAAACTAGATGTTACCTAATCATTTTACGATTATATAATTGCTATTTGAATTATTTAATATTTTGTCTTTGTCTTCCACTCTCCAATATTTGTTTTTCTGAATTCTATTTATAATAATATCCACCTTTCCATGTTGCTTTATAAACAGAAGCACATTCTCCTTCTGTAAAATATTCTATATTCTCAAATTGATCATAACTAATCCATTCAATGACAGCATCAGGAGCTACAGTTTTTTACTGACATTCTTGTCCAATTTCAAATTATTTACAAATACAAAACTCTCAGTATTGGGTTGCTTGATGCAAATTCTGACAATTGTTGCATTGTAGTTTTTCTTCAGAATTTTCAATAATTCTATATACATTATATAATCTCTGTATTTCATCAATTAAAAATTTTTTTCAAGTTCAATGAGAGATGTATCATTTTTAATCTTATTTTTTTTGATATTCTTCTCTTTCAGTCATTGTTTTATTGTAGTCTGGAAAATAATATGCGCTATTCCAAACCATCTTCAACCTCTCATTCAACCAATTTTTTGAGTATTCATTTTTTTTTTATTTCATTTAAGTGGACGATATATAATTAATCAATAAATAAATTTATTATTCAATAAAGATTAAATATAAAAATTTCATGTTTTTTTTTTTTTTGTTAATATTTAAATTGACAGTAATTTGTATGAATTGTATGAATGCGCAGAAAAGGTATACGCACTAAGAAAGGTACACATACTCCTACAGTTAAATTAAACATTCGCGATAAAAGATACTATCAGTATTTGGTTTATAGAACAACCTTTTTTACGGGTTGAGCGTAGTAGGTCACAATGCCAGGTTTCCCTGGCTCAGATGTTTGAGCAAGATTTTTCTTGTTCCATATTAATCTCAAAACCACATAAATTGTATTTGTAAATTTTGGATCCAGCAGATATATCAAATCTTTGTATTGAATATACTTCGCAGTAAAATTGATTTTCAATTGTCAAATATTATGTCTCAATATTTTAATTCAATTTGTATTATGTCTGTCGTAATTGAATATGTCTGTCATAATTGATTACATCCATTATAATTGATTATATCTATCATAATTGATTACACCAAGGTTACGTTTTATGTATCCGCATTGCCCATATGTCTTTGATGTTGCATATTATTAATATTTTTCTCGAATATTCACACACTTGTGTTTTAAAAACATTTTAAACCTGTAATGAGCCAAGGTTATCATTTTCTCGCTGTTTTACTGTTGATCTTTCGTTCGTCATTTCTTGGATTTCGAATTTCCACGAATTTGTATCTTTTTGATAACCTAAATATCCTTTGGATGTCATTCTTCCCACATTCAATTGTTTTTCCTTTTGGATGATATCCCGTTCATGTATTTATATCTTCATTTTCGTTTGTAATTTTTTTGCACGATATTGGTATGCAGATGTGAAACTCATTTAATTTCTGGTTATCTTGAATGGATGTTTAATGATTGATAACTTTTCTGATGCTTTGATACTTTTTAAAATTGAAAAATGTTTGCTTTTTTGTATGTAAAAATCTCTTGCTTGTATAGTTATTGAATCTTCTCATTTTTCTTGTTCTTGATTTGATTTCGAATCTTTTTTCTTGCTTAAAATTTGTATTATATGCTATGAGTAGTTCATTTAATGCCTGGTCTCTTATACCATTTGGTGTTTCTCTAACCCATTGGTTTTATGTTTCGAATTATTTTTACAAATTAACAATTTTCTTTATTTCTTTGTTCATGAATTTGACATTGTGTTTTGTTTGTTGAGTTCATAGGATCGTCACAACCTCCCTGGTATGTACAGTATGTCCCAGAATGGATATCGAGCAGAATCTCTTTCTACTGGGATGGTAATGTACGAGACCCTTCTGCTACCATACCACCTTCTAAGGGTTGTGCACGAGACTTACGTTTTTGTATAATAAAAATTTTTGTGTAAAGTAGAGATTGGAACCGTTAACCATTTAACTGTGTTTAATCAGTTAATCGCGATGAAAGTAGTCTGTTTAAATTTAGCTGGTTAAAATATATAGTTAAAGTTAACCGGTTAATTGGTTAAATTTAATTACTTAAATATATCAAATAAAGAGAGAGGGGGAGAGGAAAGAGAAAGAGAGAGGAAAGAGAGAGAGAGCGGATAAATTTTTTAAAATATATTAACCAAGTAATTAACCGGATAATTAAAAAATAAATAAAATCGGTTATGGATTTTTTTTGTAGGTTCCAATGTCTAGAGTAAAGAATTTAAAATTTAAAAAATAATTTGAAAAAATAAATTTAAAAAATGTATTTATGACATATTGGAGTGTTAACATAAAACGATACGTTGTTGAATTCTCTCCTTTATAACAAATTGCAATTTTTTACTGTTTGATAAAAATCACGGATACATCTGAGTGATCTAACTGATTTCGTTCGAAATTAACCAATTTTGTCCATCTATAAAAATTAAATACTATTTTATCGAGTTATTATTATGATCAATAATGAGTACTTATTATTTCAAAGCAAAAATTTTTTTTTAAAAAAAAATTGTCTCAATTAATCTAAACATCAGTGAATTTAAATTTAAAGTCTAAAATCTTATTTCTAACTCTCCTTCAAAATTTTATTAACATTAATAATTCTATTCAATATAAATTTCAATATTATTTTTAGTAATAGCGGAACCTTTTGCTAATTCCCAATCCTTTTCATCATTTAAGGAAACAATATCTCCTTTTCTTGTTTTATACTTTAGCCTTTTTAGAGGATATTTAAATCTTCCTTTAATGTAAACGACGAAATGAAAAAAATTTTCATTTTTAGGAAATAATAATAACGCTCTTGTTTGATGTGGCAAATAACAAGAAATGGATAACTGTTTAATTAATTATAAGATGTAATATTATTAAAATAAATCGATTTACTCGGGAAATATTGATAAATATGATTAAATAAAATGTATAGACTATTCAACCCACCGATGGAGAATTAGCACTTAGTTTCAATTCATTAACAATTCCAAATCGATCAAACCACAATTTATTTATTCCAGCTTCGATTATAAATAAAACTTCAGGACAACACTCATTATAAGGTGTCAATAAAATAGAATGAGTACCAGCCAATAGACCTCCTGTAGGATCTTTGTTTTTTTTAAAGGTTACTTTTGATTCTTCACGTCGGAGGTACTTTATAGAAAATAGAATAACAATTTATTAGATTATTCTGGAAAAAATCCAAATAGGAAAAGGAATTTTTTTTTATTAAAAGAAAAAAAAAATCAATCGTACCGTTCTATGGAAATTTGGTAACAGTTTCATGCAAATTTGTAGAGACGACGATAATTTAAAACTAACCAATTGATTTAACGGTATCACCATCTCATCCTTCATTGAATTTAAACAAATAGATATTGTTTCTTCATTAAATTTGAAATAAAAAGCAAGATCTTTGCTATTTTTCGATCGGATTATTGTGCTACCAGGATATTGATCTGATGATTTAGAAAATTGACATATTCGTATATAAACTTTGAAAAATTGGGTTGTAGTGTTCTTAACATTATTATTATTTATAGATGTTGCTTTAATATGTAGCAAAAGAAATAGATGTTAAAAAAAAAGATAAATATGTGCATTGAAAGAATTTACTAAAGTCATTACCAGTTATTTGTTCAAATTCCATCATTATTTAAAGTGATTGTCTAGATCTTATTTTCTTAGATATCAAAAAAAAAAAAAATTTATATCAAAAAATGTGCTGCGAAAGAAACCAAAGAATGAGTGATGATATGTGTAAAAGTCATCTGATCATTCTAAAAAATCTCCGAATGTAAAACGTTTATTATGCATCCTTTAGAAACAAAAAAATCTTACAGTTTGCATAAAAAAAATAAATTTGGTTAGTATAATTTTTTGAGTCCTCTTTTATATTTTTTATAAAAACAACACAGATATTCAAGTATTTTCAGAAAATTTATTTCCTAATTTAATGAACCTTATCAAAGATTAGACACGTGAATGGATTAGTAATTTCTAGTAATAACTTGTTACCAAATTAAAATTTAAGAATTTATGATAGGGCAAACACTAAATAAATCTAATTCTCTCTCTCTTTTTTTGTAAAAAAAAAAAAAAAAAAAGATACAAAAATGAAAAGACAAAGCAGGAAGAATAATACATGGCGTTCGTGGAACGCCGCGGCACTTGGTAAAACAGAAGAAGTAAGTGACAGAAATAATACGAGAAAAGAAACGGACTTACGTCCTTGGAACCGTTTATCTCTTTATGATACAAATGAGATCCTACCAGACTCCCAAGATATATATCTCAATTCTTCTAGAGAAGATTATATGAAATCAGAAGTAAATGATTTTATTTTAAGTGATATTTTATGTTATTTACTTTTTTTTCATTAGTTTATTTTTAACAATCGATAATTGATAATCTCAATCTTAGCAATCATCATTTATCCCCGTGAAACGCGAATTTATTGATGCTTTTGACAGAATTCAAATTACTGATACACCTGTAATATTTAAAAATTTATAAAAGAATTCATTAAAATCGTAAAATATTTATTAATAATTTTTATATTATTTATAGGAGGATTTTGTATATTCTGAAAACGTAGTTTCACAACGCGTAATTATTTATAAAATATTATATACCTCAAAGAAGATTTTGTGTTTTCATTAGAAATCTTTTTTAATAAATTTAATCATCAACAGTATCGAGGTAGAGACAGAGATTATTCACGATCAATGAATTTAGATTCTGATAACTGGGACGAACAACAGGTATTTATCTCTTACATATAATAATCCATAATATCTCATTAAATGAATAATAACAATTTATTTTTCTTTTCTTTTTAATTAGCCAGTAAAATCTAGTCGCAATGGGGAATTTCATTTACAAAGGTTTGTTTTTTCCGATAATTTCTAATTTATTAAAAGAAAACCTCTTCATAACTTAAAATTTTTTTTTTTTGGCGATTTTTTATTTTAGACGTCATACCGATTCTGATGTACCGATGTTAATTAATTTGAATGAAGAAAATCCTCCTGTACAGGATATATCAGAATTTACACCAAAATCTTTCGATGAATTAAAGGAGATCGATTGGCAAGCATATTCAAAAAGGCTCATAAAAGAAGAATCGGAGAAAGATCAATTTAAGGTATTTATTATTATTGCTACTATTATTCCCTTTTTATCATACCTATAATTGATAATGTTTTTTTGGTATTCTAATGTGGATGGAAATTGGTATTTATTTTTTCCCTTTAGAGAGATAGATCATTTTTATCAGAGTTTGACATATTTAAATGATTTATTTTTCCATTGAAATGACTTTTGTGCGATAAGAATGATGAAAGCATAAATGTTTTAATATGAAATATGATTGTACAAAATGCAAAATAAATATTCAATAAAATTGCAATATATATCATGTGATGATGCAGTTTATAATTTACTTTTCATATGACTCGTCCATAAATATTAATGCATCATTTAACTTAATGACCTTTATGCGCTTTCATGGTTTAAAAAAATTACTAAATTTAAAATGCTGATTGTGACACAAACTTTTTATTGGAATATATTTTTGAATATCAAACAAAATTTGACAAAAATAATAAATTTAATCTTTGATCGTTTCTCCTATCGGATTCAATAGATATTAAAGATAGATACTAACTATCTCATATCAAATTGTAGCCAGATACAATGTCTACAACTTTAATTAGAACAACAGTTTATGATATCTAATGAAAATTTAGACTTTACTTAGACATGAATAAAACGGCCGAAATTTATTAAAAATATAAAAAAAATCAAATTAATTATCAACCGTTACTACATATAAAAGTATTTTGTTTACTAAAAGACTAATAAAAATGATACTAAGTAGTATTAAAGCTGAGAATGTAGTGCATCGTCTATAAAGTATTCAGATTTACTTAATAAAGGTTGAGCGAAAAATTATCGCTAAATTCTAACGAATAATTTTTAAATTTTTAGTATTGATATTAAATTCATTTTTTTTTTGAATTTTTCTCTTAATGCCTTAAAAATTTGCGTAGTGGGCAAATTTGTTGTCGATCATTTTAACTTTGATATTAAAATAATTAATAAAATTACAATTATGGTACTAATTATACTTATAACCAAAGATGTGGAACATCTCTTGCAAACATTTTATATTTTTTTGTTTAAGAATTGAATTTAATATCAATGATAATTCATTTATTATTTTTTTTTGTGCTTTATTAATATATTACATTGCATTTACATAAAATATATTTATTGAACAATCCTTACTACCTACACTATCTATTACTAGCTAGCTGCAGGTCTGCCCTTCGACAGAGAACTGGAGCAGAAGGCAGTATTTTTATTGGTAAAGAAAATACTTTTATATGTAGAAACATTTGATAATTATTTTCGGATTTTTTTATTTTTTTTTAATATTTTATCAATCATAAAGTCACATGTTGTTAACCATGAAATTTCGGAAATTGTGGTTTATAAATCTAAAATTAAATCAACAAAATTAAAATATTCAAATACTCAAACTCAAAACTGTGAAATATACAGTGAACCCTTTTACGAATGCATCCTGAGAGCTAACATTATCATGCATTTAAGTGTTATTAGTGTATGGGATTGTAGCATAGGTTGCATTTAAAGAGGATGTATTTATACTATACAATACATTCAACTTTCAATTTAATTAGGAATTCCATTTAATTTTAAATTTTTCATCTTTACAGAAGAAGGTAAGTTAGCTCAAATTATTAAATCCCAATGAAATCTCTATTTTAATCCATAATAATATAATATTACACATTTATAGCTTTTAAGTCTAAAAAAAAATGATTTTGAAATTAATAAAATAATTATTTATTAGAAAAACTTAATTTATTGTGTTTGAATAATTATAGAAAAAATGTATCTCACTAGTATTGATGATGATAATTCAAAAGTAATTAATATGATATTTAATTTTATCAAGGATATGAACTTCAAATTCAGGATCACAATTTCATCCTTATTTCATATTTCTTATTATTTTTGTTATCAATAAGAATTAAACAATTTAGATTAACTAGATTAACTATTTTATTTTTCATTTATTGATACTTTACTTTTTATTCTTTGACCAATTTAATTATTATTATTTTTACTTTTATTATTTTTATATTTTTTGGAGAAATTAATTTCAATGAAGATAATTTTTGTAAATATTTATCATCTAATAATATTAAATTTATTAATTTTATGTCCAAATAATAATTTCAGCTACTACATAGTAAAATTTCTATTAAAATCATTAAAGTTGATTAAAAAAAATTATTTAATAAATAATTTTATATCAAAGTTTTATTTTAAATAAATTGATTGGATTTATTAAATAAATGAAATAGGAAATGACTACTCAAGAAATTGAATGAAATGAAGAATTAATATGGTTATGGTCAAAACATATTATTGGAAATTGGACATCTGAAAATGATGAATTGATAAATTAATTCAAGAACCTCATTAAATGGGTTAGTAAGATCAATTTGAGAATATCAAATATCTTACAGAAGGAGGATGTGCACAGCAAAATAGAATAATAGGTTCTATAATAAATGAAATTCAGAAACAAATATTGGAAAGATATATAAGACATAAGGTTATTATGAAAAATTAAATAACTTAAATAACAAAAAATAAAATGGTTCAAGAAGTACTGTAAGTATTATTCTAATATTTATTAATTTTCTAGTATTATCCCAGAAATATTAATTTTGTAAATTATAAATAAATATTAAATCTTACATAATGTTTATGTAACACTTGTTGAAGTTTTGGATTTACAAGTGCCAATGATTATATGTTAGTTATAATAATAATTATCTTTCACTTTCATGATTCAAAATATAATATTTTCATTATATTGTTTTTTCTTTCATTGTAAATATAAAGTTATATAAAAGAGTAAGAAATTGGTTAATATAAAATCTATCACTTGACAATATTACATTACATTAATTTCTTACTTTTATTGTTCACTTTATCAGCATTTTCATTTAAAACTATATATAAGTAAGTCAATGTTTACTTTTAATCAAATAAATGAAAAGGTAGATTTTTTTTTTTCAAAAAGAATTTCAGTTAAGATCTAATATTTTTCACCAATGATTTAGATTTAGATGATTAATTTCAGCCAACTAATATTAAACCTAAACTATAAATAGCAAAAGAAATTTAAAAATTATTCATTTAAGTTTTGAAAAGTTATCTCAAGACTTTTTGAAACTTCTTAATTCTGTAATGGTAAAGAAGAATATAATGTTATATTGATGTTGATCAAGAACAAATACTATTCTCATTGATAAAAATAATAAAACCTATTATTCTTATTAATTATTTTTAATTTAATTATTATGCATTGAGAAAGTATCCTTGAATGATATGATATATATTAAATTCAGATATATCTATAGCAAAATTATTGTTACAGAAATTTGGTAATGATCTCTTCATGAAATTAAGTGGGAATCATACTTTATATGGAATAAAAAATTATTGCTTTAAAAAAACAACTCTCAAAAACATTATTTAAAACAAGGATTATGTTTTTGCATGGGTTGCTTATCAAATTTTATTGGTTGAATTATAAGTTTTTATCATATGACTAAATGTAAGGGTCAAGGTTAGCAGCTTCCTAATCATAGACCAGCTAAAATTGACCATCCTATTTGCTCCTATATTAAAATCGGAATTCCTTTTTGCGTTGCGCAAAGGTATCATTTTATTTTTAAGTAACGCGAAAGAATAATTAGTTGAAAATTGATGTATCAAAAAATAATCATAAATCTATCAAAACGACACTTTTGCGAAAATATCATACATTGCGCCAAATGCAGGTGCGTTGCAATTTGTTGATCGCGTTTTATATCAAAACAATAAATAAATAAATAAAATTAATTTCCACAAATTTTTCATAATAATTATGCCAATTGGTTCGGTTCATCTAGTTCGTGAACCTAATCTTTCATCTAAAAAATGCATATCCTTATCATCATATTTTCTTTTCATTGTCATGAACGTAAGTCATCATATTGACTAAAACAAAAATAATTTAAATCAAATTTAAGTCTATTACATATATTCTGATAATGTTTTATATATCAAATACAATAGTATTTTTTATTAAACATTACCTTTGTAGACAAGAAACAGTAATGGATCATAATTTTTCTGAATTAAATTATTCTAAGAGAACATGATAATGAATAGGATAAAGGAATAATTTTTGATAAATCCACTTATTGTTCAAATTCATCAACGAACGATTGAAATAAAATTATTTTAAAGCTTCACGTCACGTAAGTTCGAAATGATGATCTTCAAGGTACATCTCATAATTTTAGGCTTATTGACACTATGGTTATAAAAAAATAAAATGACTTCGATTTATTACCCAAGTGAAATATTTGTTTTTTAAAGGTTTTGCGTATTTATTTATGTTAACACACCATATTTGGATATCACAAAATTTGTATTATATTACACACAGGTGTATTAATCATAACGTATCAAAAATTAAAGATTTAAAAAAAAATAATAAATAGGTTTAAATTTTATATCAAATTTTTATTTTAAAAAACAATAAATAATATTAATTAAGTGTTTATTCATTAAATAAATGAAATCGAAAATGGCTTTTCAAAAAATTGAATGGAATGATAAATTGAATATGATTAGGGTTTTAACCTATTATTCTCTAGACTTAAATATTCATAAAACAATTACCCAAAAAGAAGAATATCGAAAAGAGATGATCCAAAATCATTCATCTCTCACAAAGCTTGAAAAGAAATTTTTACTTTATGAACTACAGAAAGTAAGTGACCCATATAAAATTGGAGATAATTCTGCCAAGGGGCAACTATATAAAAATTGTCAAAATTTGCATCAAGCAACACAATATTGTGAGTTTTGTATTCGCAAATGTTTAGAAAATAATTTTGGAAATTGGACATCTGGAAATGATGAAATCGACGGATTGATTCAAAATTGTCAAAAAAAAAACTGTAACTCCCGATGCTGTCGTTGAATGGATCAGTTATGACCTATTTAAGAATGTAAAACATTTGACCAAAGGGGGATGTGCTACCATATATACAGCAACATGGAAAAATGGGTCTTATAATAGGTGGAATTCAAAAAAAAAAAAATTGGAAGACATATTGTTATTCTGAAAAAATTAAATAATTCAAATAACAATAATGTAAAATGGTTTCAAGAAGTAAATATTATTTTAATATTAATTA